GGCTCTTTGCAGAAGCCTTTGTGGTGTTTAAGGAGTAGTTCATATTCTTGCAGTGATAGGGAATACTTTTTTCTTGGGCAGTTGCCTTACTTGACTTCCACAGAGTCTCTTATTTATGAGGTATGGCAATATAGGTAGATTTTTTTTTATGCAATTCTCAAGTTTATTACCAAAAAACAGGGCTGTTATACTTGTGCTATCCTATTGCATCACTCAGGATTTTGATTCATGTTAAAGTGAACCTCAAGTACCAAAAAAACAAATAGAGAAAGCAGTTAAGAAAGGACTTGAGTTTTGACCGTATGGTTATAACTTAACTACAACTTAATTTATTTTTCTTGGGTCTTCTTTTATATATATATATATATGAACTTTGCATTTAGTAGTATTTGGAAAAATTATCTTATTATTATTTATAAATGCTTTTTTTCCTTGCTGGCTTTGGTTATGTGCATCATAAGTAGACCCATTTTTTTTTAGCATTACTAGAGGGCGAAAACCAAAGGGTACCATGAGGGCAGGTGCCTTCTATTGGGAATACTCAAGTCACTGCATAGCTGTTTGCTTTTTGGTGTAAAAATGAAAAATAGTGACTTTCAGGAATTAGCAATTTAACTTCTGTTCCTTGATAATTAAATTCACAAACTAATGCTTTTATGCTTTGATTTCTGTATTCTTATGCAGGTTGTGACTCTCCTTCTCCTCATGATACATACTTTTTTCCCTATTTTCTATGAAGGGTCCCATATCTATTGGAAACGCCCTCTTAATCAGTTAAAGGTACTTGAGCAAGATTCTTTTTTGGATACATATCCCTAGTCTCTCTCTCTCTCCCGTTTTGCATTTTGATAAAAATGAAAATTCTTTGATGTATGGATTTCTTGAATGTAAGGAAAAAAGGTAGAAGTTAGAAACATTGGCAAGAATACCTTCCCAAAACTATGTTACTAAGATTCTTCAATTTGCATTATCTATCCATGTTAAACCTGTTTTGGACACCTCAAATGGACTTGGGTATTAATGTATGATACTCCAAATAGTGTTAGACATGGGTATCATCTGACAACAAAGCCTAAGTCTAATGTTTATGCTCTGTTGAACTCTGTCACCTATTTCCATTAGCAATCCAAATAAGTATGTCAGTGCCTTTCAAGCGAATGGACTTTGGATAGATTTTATTGCTTCAAACCTAAACAATGCAGTTTAAGTCTTATAGTTTAAACAAAAAATTGTGGTCTTCTATTCTTTTATCACCATAATTAAACAATTTGCAAGTAACTGCTTCTTACGTATGATGCTAGTCACTGATCTTTGCTTGATGATTTAATATTGGCTTTTCACACAGTTTGCTGTAACCTTTATATTATTGTCTTTCAAAAAGGCCTAAAGCTGTATCTTTTGTTTCTGGAATTCTATGAATAGAGTTTACTATCTTAGTTTCCCATGATATGAGCCACCTAGTTATCTTTTCACGATTTAATGTTACAATGCTCCCCTGCTTTCTTATGATGTAGCCTAACAGTGCATGTTTTGGTTCAATTTCCAGGTCATTTCCCTCTTAATATTGGTGACAGATTTACTGGTTTATGCTCTCTATTTGTCTCCGGTAGCCTTGACATCTCTTCCATTGAGGGTTGCGCCATATGTCAGAGTTATTATTTTCATCCTCAACATTAGGTAGTGAGTGACAAAGTCCATACTTTCTATTTCTTTGAAATCCTTTTCTAAATGTGTATGCATGTATTTTATATGTCTTACAGACATCTGTTTGTTCGTGCCATGTCCAGAATTGAAATTTAGTCTCCTGAATGCATGCATTTGGCTTCACAGATGTATGCTTTGCATTTATGCATCACAAAACATAAATTGGAACAACTTTTGCTCTTTCCACTTCTTTTTTTTTTTGCCATCATTTTCTCCACTAATTCATCTGATCGTATCATATGGATCTACAGAAAATCATAGAGAATTTGAGTATGATTTTAAATAGTGAATTGTGGGAAATCTATGGTGTCTCTGTGCTTCTCAGGTTTGCAGCAGACAAAAATGTCTATCAATCTTTGATTGCAACATTTAATCTGGAAGAAAGAATGATTTTATACATCACCAACTGCCTGGTGCTGCCATGAGATAGTGCACAGCATGTACTTATGTAGAATCAGATGTATTAGGTTTTAGAAATTTGACGAGGACATCTCCTACTGTCTTTTAAGAAAACTTCATTGGTTTGTGAGGAGGTTATGGATGGGCCACCTCTCCTTGTTAATCCTTTTTCAGGAACAAGTTTAAAAGGAAAAATGTCTCCTTTTTGGCTGATGGCATTCTTTACTTGAAAATCATTTTGGTTCGGCACTATCATGTACATAGGTGTTTCTCTCTAGTATATTTTTCCATAATTGGGTCATCAGGAAACATGGTAAAAGATGAGAATTTTAAATTCATTTTTATTGCCACTGTTTTGATGCATAAGGTGAAAATAAAGTGGTGGGGACAAAAAAGTTCCTTTCCCTTTTTTATGCATCTCTGCTTCATTTTCTCCTACAGAAAGCATAGCAGAAAAATGGTTTGATAATTTTTGGCTTGGTTGAGGAAAATTTGATCTGCTTGGGGTGGCATGAATTAGTTATTTGTAGAATTTTATGCCCATAATTGAACTTGATTCATCAATGTTGTCAGAGATTATCTTTGTGACATACGAGTAACCTATTAAACATTATTCTATAAATCGTCATTGAAAATCACATTTTTATTTTGAGGTTTACATATATTACTGACCATTTTTGAATATCCATGTTTGAAGGAAGATGTGACTGTTGCTTGTAGTGATTTCAGCTTCATTCATTTAATGTTTTTTTTTTCCACTTTGTTTTTACTTAGGGAATTACGAACAAGCATCCTCATTTTGGCTGGAATGATCAAAACATACTTGAATGTCTTGGTTTGTATACTTCTTTTAGCACCATACCAGTATCCATGCCTGCTGTAATTTAATTTTAAACAATATGTGTTTGCCTTATGATCTGGTTGAATTCGTTGGTCATAAGTATATACGGCTTACCTTTTTCCTAGCATGCACTAATAGCTGTCTCATCTACTTCTACTGCAGGCTTTGTGGCTGCTATTTCTTCTTTTTGCCAGTTGGGTAGCATATGTCATGTTTGAAGATACACAAGAGGGTAAATTGGTATTTACCTCATATGGTACCACGTTGTATCAGATGTTTGTTTTATTCACCACATCCAACAACCCAGATGTATGGATACCTGCTTACAAGTAAGTTTTGGAGTTAAATGCCGATCTGATTCTATGGTCATAAATTTAGTGTACTCTGGTTGGAGGTTTCTTTCTTTGCTGTAAAAAAAAAAAAATGGTTGGATGGTGTTTTTTTACCCCTATAGAAACGAAATTTAAATGTGTAAACATATCATAAAACTTTACACACTCTTTTTTGAGTGCCAGCTTGTTCTCCTTTTTAGTATTATTGTGTATGAAAAGCTAGGTTGCTTGCTTGTGTTTTTTTTTTTTTATCAAAATGATCCTTCTATGCAATGCCCTATCATTTTTCTTTTGGCATTTGTGAAGATAAACTCATTTGGTGTAACTTTTTAGCTTTATTTATACATTTTCTGAATAATGATAGGCAAATTAGCATTTTCAAAGAAGGATGTTTTCCTTCCTCTGATCTATACTTGGATCACGTTACACTTTATTTTCCTTTTGGAAATCCTTTGATTTGCAAAATCTTTCAATCTTTTGGCTACAGGGCTTCGCGTTGGTATTGCCTTTTTTTCGTCCTCTATGTCCTGATTGGGGTTTACTTTGTCACAAATTTAATCCTTGCTGTTGTATATGACAGCTTCAAAAGTGAGGTATGCTGTGCATTCATCTTACTTTTGCTATGATAACTGTGAAGACTGGAAAAGATGCAACTTAATATGTAGTATTCCTTTTAATTTTGGTTGCGGATGTATGATCAGTTATTATTTGAATCTTGCTAGCAACTATTGTTACTTCAGGAAAAAAAGGAAAAAAGAAAACATATACGCTTAAATCTCCTTTTCTTGTAGCTTGCAAAACAAGTCTCTGAGATGGATCGAACAAGAAGAACTATGTTGTGTAAAGCCTTTGATCTCATTGATGATTATGTAAGTGCATTATTCACTTGCTGGTCAAGTATCCTTTTGACATGCTAAACTGCTCTAATTTTGAACACTGCTACCTCTGTATACAAGATATGGTTGTTAGAAATCTTTGCATGTGTAAGTCATGCAAAACTTCATCTCTGTATTAGTCATAGCTCATGTTGTGATCCGGATATGGAGAGTTTTGCAAAGTCATGTATGTAGGATTTATTAAGTTGGATCTTTTTTAAAAGTTCGTTATAATTAGTAGTATATGATTATATGTTGGTGTAGGTGGTAAAAAGTAAAGAGGAGATGGGTAGCTGAGAAGTAAGATAAATAAAGAAGTGAGAGAGAGTCTTATGATATTGTCTAAGCACTCTATTAGAGAATAGATGGATAAAGTAAGATGAGAAAGGATAGGATGAGGACAGTTCTAGTGACTAAGCATCTCAAAGGTACAAAATTGATTACTACCATCAATCCATCATGTTTCTTTTTGCAGAATTCATCGTGGTTTCTGATGTTTGAATTATTTATGTAAATTTGAGATAAAGAGAGTTTTTATGTTCTTGAGTTGCTACCGGTGGTTTGATTATTTTGTTTCATCTTTATGTTTGGAGAGACTTTACAATTAGGAAAATATTTGTATCCCATTTGATATGGCAATAATGAATTGGTTTTTTAGATAGTCGATTTTGGTTAATACCTATTCTCTAAAGAATTATTTTATCTCTTAACATTATATAGAAAATAATGAGAACAACTATTACAAGTAAAGCTATACTTCACGTAGAACAACTAATACAACTAAAACTACTTCGCACAGAATAACCACTTCACACGAATAACAGTGAAAGTAACTCGGAATAAGTGGCAAGATTCATGGGTTACTTTCATATTGAGATGTACTGGAGAGTTTGACTTGATGGCCTAAATGTGGAGGTAGTTAAGAGGTCTTTCTCTTAAGCTTTTCCTAAAATACAAGTGTTTCTCTCTTTTTCCTTGTTCTCTTGTACCTGTTCACGTACAGCTTCTTCTATTGTATCTGTTTACATACAGCTCATCTTTATTAGCTTCTACTCGAGAATAAGTCTTATTGTACCTAATTACTTCAACAGTCATCTAATGGGTTTCTAAGCTTTACTTGATATTAACTTTTAGTAACGGTTAGCAAACATTAAAACTCTCTTTAATAATATCATTCATTACGTGCATTAAAGTCTTTTCTTGTAACCATCACTTTTGGCACTCTATATAGAGCCTTCACAACTCATTCATGGGACTTTCACTTTTCAAAACTACCTTATTCTCAGTCAAAGCTCTTTCTCTAGTCCTTTTATACATTGTCTACAAATTTTTTTCTTGTTCGCTTCCACCTGCCACAACACTCAATACTTCAAGAATTGCTCCGATCTTCCTCTCCGCCACCTCCGTGACATCCCTTACTTGTTTGCAACACTTCCTCTTCCTATCACAAGAACTCCTTTTACAGGTTTAACTTCAAATATTTTATTTATGAATAGGTTGACTTACCCATGAAGTGGAAGATCCAATTCTTGGATTTACCCAATAAATTTTGCCTCATTAGGTGGATAAAAAGTTGGGACAAAAATATTGGACAAGTAGCATTACTCCTTCACAATACAATGTCATCTTCTCTTTGAGTGATTTGTCTACATATAAAATGGTATCGCCATGTTGTAACATTGTAATATGATTGATGTAGCCAAACCCACATTGCAAATAAAGGCTTAATGTATGGTGTTGTTGATTTGGTTTAAGTTTTTTGAATGTTATATGAGGTTTCCTATTCTATGCACAGAAAGTTGGGTTCCTCAACAAGGAGCAATGCATTCATCTGTTTGAAGAACTGAACAAGTACAGGTACTAATCACATCACCATCTTTAACATGTTTTTAGGAGCAAATGCCTTCTTATCTCTTGCATTGATACAGATGTTTACTCTGTTCTCCAATAGGATATTTAGAGGTGGAAATTTGACAGGTTCAGTTGGGTTTGAGTTATTTCTGGTTTTGACTTTTTGGGTATGGTCTAAGAGAATGAAGAAAGCATGCAGGAAGTAATAACTATCTCAAATAAGAGGATTTTTTTTTTTGTATATATTAGCATATTATCCAGTTGTCTTGTGTTATCTTGTTAACTCTTTTTAGGACATTGGTAAATGACTGAGGTGGAATCAAAGCATTCTGAACCTGAAGAAATTGAATCTCCTGTCTGATTGTGAAACATTAGCTAGTTTTCTCTTTGCATTTTTTATCTCATATTGATAAATATTTGGTGCAATTAATGAAAGAAAAATCATAAAGATGCAGTCAATTCATGAGGATGTAGTCCTTATGTCTTGAGATGGTCATAAGCAGCTTACTGTATTAAGGTTCCTGTATTGTATTGACTTTTCAAACCACTTGTTTATAGGTTGTTTTGTTGATTTTGTGCATGCTAAAGTATGCCTTCTAATTATCTTATGTAGGACTTTGCCAAAAATATCAAGGGAAGAATTTGAGTTAATATTTGATGAGCTGGATGATAGTCATGACTTCAAGGTATACCTTTTACTTCCCCATTTTGGTTTGATTTAAATTCCAGTGATCATTTTTTTCCTTTTGGTGTGTGTCAGTGCATGCAGTTAAGGTCAACTTTGTAGAAGAAGAGATTTTACTTATTGAGATCATTGACTATAATAACCAAAGAATTTTCAATGACTAATATTTTCTAACCCTTATGAGAAAAGGGGGGCTAAAGGGTGTTTGTGATGTTGCCTAATTGGAGCAAATGGAATGGTTATAGTGTTTCTTTCATTGAAAACCAGAAGCTTTTATTTTCCTTATCTGGCAGAATAACCTTCTAGGGAATACTGGAAGTTTGTCTCTGTAACCGTTCATAAAAGTTCTACTTATCAAGAAGAAATGAATAGTTTTTCCTGAATAAAGGGTATAAAAAGAGCCTTGCCTAAGTCATGCTAAACAGGTTGTTCGAATGGGAGGGGACCAGATGCCTGAGCTAATATCCTCACTAGATTTGGTCCCGTGCTTTTTTGTTGGCCAAAAGGTAACTCAGTGTTAACTCAAAGGAGGAATGCTATCTGGATGTGCAGCTATTTGCCTGGGTCTATGAGCTGGAAGTCGTGATGCTGGTCAGTGTTGGAATCTTTTGTAGTTGTGTCCAAGTTTGTGGGACAGAAGCTGTACAGGATGATAACCTAGATGTTGGAGGGAAGGGTGAAAATAGGATTGTTTTACTCATTTGGGTTCATCAATAAATGATTGAATAAATGCCTGTAAAATCTTCTGCATAGATGGAAAGAATAATATATAGGATGTGAACATGCATGCAGCTGCTTATGTTTACTGAAGTTGGTTCATTCGGAAGGGAAAAGCCTGACACATGGTTGATGCGCAATAAACATAGGTTCTAGATTAGTCCCCTTAATAACATCTTGCACCTTCCAGGGGCCATGCTTTTCCAAATCTTCATTAAGAATTTAGTTCCAGTTAGAATTCATAAACTGAAGCAGCTTGTTGAAGCCAAAGAAAATTGCGAGATATTGGGGGCATCAAAGGGGCTTGAAGGATCATAGCGGTAATCTTGAATTGTTGTTGTTTACCAGGTCCTGTGCTTTAAGCAATGGGCTTCCTTGTAGATAGATTGAACTGTTCAGTTGTAAAGTCTCAGACAATGATCATGCAACGACTTTCTCACTGTGTTGATATGATAGGAAATTGTATGGGAATCTTTGGAGGAGCTTTCAATATATTTCTTCAGATTATTGAGCAAATTGAGTCTATGGTGGTATTTAATGTTTGAAATTATTTATTTGTTGTTTTCAATATTTTCATGTGTGTTCGCTCTGTCTTTAATCTCTCTTCTGGTCATCATATTGCCTGTTTGTACAATATCACTTCTTTATACTACATTTAATGTAATTATTGCTGGATTTGATGTTTTTCCATCTGTAGATCAACTTGGATGAATTTACTGACCTTTGCAACGCCATTGGTCTAAGATTCCAAAAGGAGGATTCTGTAAGTCCAGTTTCCTAGTAACCTTCTCAAAGCATTTTCATTATAAATGATGAGATATTTATGACAGCGGAATCTATATGTGTTTTGCAGCCTTCTTTGCTTGACAGATTTCCAATCTACCGTTCACCTTTCTCTGAAAATTTGAAAGCTTTTGTTCGGAACCCCATATTTGGATACATAGTATCCTTCATTCTCATACTGAATCTGTGTGCAGTTATTATTGAGACAACGGTATGCCTTGAACACAATTCATTTAGATGAACATGTAAGAGTTAATTTGCTTTAAAAGCCTAAGATGCTTCAGTTATTTCCTCATTAATGATTTAACAAAACAAATATATTTGCATCTATCTGCTGATGTTGTTAGTTGTAGACTACATTGCTTCCAAGTTCTTGCACTTTGGAGTAAAATTAATTTATATTTCAAATTAAAGAGTTTGGAAACTTTGTAGAACTTTCCCTCTGGTGTGTGGTGATTGGCTTCTAGCCTGTTCTCATGCCCACAGTTAGGGGGTCACCCATGAGTTGTTTTGAAGCATATAATGACATAGGGTAAACTGAAAAAGGCATCTGGATCAGTACCCCATCAGAAATTGTTTAAAATTTTCTTTCCTTGCAATATGATTAAATTTTGTTCATTAATTACTCCATTTCTCAAGGAGGCATGCCATGCACTTAAAGTAAGAAGAAACTACTTGGAATACTAGATAACATTCCAAATTAAATGTATGTATGAATGTGTGTGTGTGTGTGTGTATAATATTCTTGTTTGTTGACTGGCTCCCTAGCAAAATGAAATAAGAATGATTACAAAAGCCCTCCATATATTGCTTTATTACTACCCTCTAGAGCCCAGCCATGTGATTCTCAACTTTGACACTGTTTCCTGCTCTTTCTGGCATGGACTTACGGTTCCCACCTTCATCCAATATGAAACTAAGAAGAAATAAATAAGGTAGCTTAAAATTAAATTAGAGTCTTTTGTGGTCTAATGCCTATGGAGAGACAGATGCTTGTGCATCCAAGATTACTGTTATGTGCATCAATTTTGCTAATCCCTTTTTTTTCTGCTGCAAATCAGTAGCTGTTCAGGTAGAAGTGTGTTTATATAAAGGCTGGTCTTCAAAGAACTAGCCCAGTACTGGCTAATGAATCAAAAGAAGACCTTCCTGATCTGCTTCTACCATTTTCTTTTTATGCGTTTGATGAATTGCTAAGTGGAGTGAACATTTTCTTGTTTTTCGTTTCAGATTATTTGATTTCTTGGATACATATTTCCAAAATTTAAAACTTGTAGTCCCGAACTAACCCATTATTGGCTAATGAATCAAAAGAAGACCTTCTTGATCTGCTTCTACCATTGTCCTTTTATGTGTTGGATGGATTGCTAAGTGGAGTGAATGTTTTCCAGATTTTTGTTTCAGATTATTTGATTTCTAGGGTACGAATTTCCAAAATTTAAAACTTGCTGTCCTGGACTAACTTTTGTGATCTAAATTTTCCTGCAGCTTGATATTGAAAACAACTCTGGTCAGAAGGTGTGGCAGGAGGTTGAGTTTGTCTTTGGTAAGTACTTGCTAATGCATGTACATGATTTTTAAGCTCGTATAACTGCCTGATTTTACTTACTGAAAATTTTAACTTCATAAATTTGCATTATTTATTTAATGTTTGTTATTTTTTGATGTATGCTACATGGTTACTATCTCATGGTGGTTAATGAGTTGCTTATTGGCTGACAGGGTGGATATATGTACTGGAAATGGTACTGAAAGTATACGCCTATGGATTTGAAAATTATTGGAGGGATGGGCAGAATCGCTTTGATTTTCTCATCACATGGATAATAGGTAACTACTCGAGATACATCCTTGGTTTTTCACCTTATGTCTACTAAAGTAAAAGCAACCAAATTTGTTTTCATTTTGTTTGAAATTTTAATAATAATTGAACAGCACACTACTTAGAATTAGTTTCTTTGGAAAAGCAAATTTCAGCAATTATTTTGTGTCTTTCATGTTCAAATATTGATTGATCACTTAATGACGTAAGCGGTCCAACCGAAGGCGGAAAGGTTTCAATTGCCAATACTTTTAGAAATTAAACAGACTGCATCAAGCAAATCTTTTTAGTTACTTCCTATTCTAGAGTTAACTAGGTGACTGCAAAAGCAAATGGCCTATTGTTTGTTCTTTAGTGGTTTTTATATTTGAAAATACTCAGAAAAATTTTTCCTTTTGCATTACCCTTCAATAAAACAACCTTTTATTGATGTTATTCTAATCTTGTAAATATTAAACGCCCAAAAAATTTTGTAGGTAACCTATAAATATTGCAAGCATGAAATGATTTTGGTTATGATAAAAACATGAAGAAATATACTGCTGGAATACGTGCTTCTCCACTGAATTGAACTTCTGTATAAATTTGAAACAAAGTAGATTGCAAGTTGGGGAATGACCATGCTGTTAAGCGTACTTTGAGGCAATAATGCGCAACAATTAGGTGTTTGAAGATTTTATATGCAAAATTTTCTTTCAATGTTGCAATAAGATAATATATTGTTCTTTTGAGTTTATTTGCCCCTAGGGATATAAGCAAATGGCATGTGGCACGTCTAGAAAGTTTGCATTCACAATGTTGTCCATTCGGCTTGAAAGAAAAACTTTTATTTCTGCAGTGGGTTATATCCACTGTTTCTTTATTCTGTGAGTTTTATGTGTGAAAGGAAATTCTTATTCCTTAATAGGCTGTTCAATTTCATTTTATTTCTGAAAAAAAAAAACAAAAATTGTGCTTGCAGTTATAGGAGAAACTATAACTTTTGCAACTCCTGATGGACTGGATTTTTTTTCAAATGGAGAATGGTAAGGACAACTTAATATTTCAACCTTCGTGCATTCTATGGATCATGTTTAAGTTTTGCTCACACCACACCTCATTTTCCTGTAAATAGATGCTCTCTACTTATATTATAAATGAATTCAACTGAATGTTGCTAAATTTGGATGTCCTTTTCCTTCTTTAGTATATGTTTTCACATATCCCCATTTGCTTCCCATTCTTGTCAACAGGATTCGCTACCTTCTTCTTGCCAGAATGCTAAGATTGATAAGGCTCCTGATGCATGTTCGAAGTTACCGAGCTTTTGTTGCCACATTCTTAACCCTCATACCAAGTTTAATGCCATATCTTGGGACCATATTTTGTGTCCTATGCATCTATTGCTCACTTGGTGTACAGGTACTTAAGATATGTAAATTCTGTTTTAATCTGCCTGCCTGCCTTTAGTAAGTTAAAGTTGCCACCATTTATCAAACAATCTGGAGTGGTCCATGAACATTTTATCCTAAAGAAATTGGTTTCATTTGTCTAGAATTCTAGATTTGATGGTTGTCTGAACTGGGGATTATTATTCAGTCTAATCAATTTTCTGCTTATGTTACTAATGAAAATTATTATCATTTTTCTGTCTAGATCTTTGGTGGGATCGTCAATGCTGGGAATTCCAATCTAGATGGAACAGATCTCAGTGATGATGAGTATCCTTTTTATCATATGTACGAACCTTTCGTATATGCCTTTAGGAACTTTATTCGAATTTGTATTTAATCTTTCAATGGCTACATATCTCAGAGGAAAATTTTGACTATTTACAGGATTTGAAAGTTTGGCATTTTGATTTCAGAGGTATATTAAGTTATAACTGCAATTGCAAGTTTTAAACAATATGTTAACATTCATTGACTTTCCTTGACAAAATCAGCTATTTGCTTTTCAATTTTAATGATTACCCAAATGGAATGGTGACACTTTTTAACTTGCTAGTTATGGGAAATTGGCAAGCCTGGATGCAGGTATTGCTTCGATGCCAAGACTTTCTTCATTTTGTTGTTTTCTTCACACACTTCTGCTGTATAGGACATGTAGAGGAACATCTATATATCATCTTCACATATGTTTAAACGGTGGATTAGGATATAATTACCCTCTTTCTTTTTGGATATATCTGTCACTGCTGATTGTGAACTTCTAGGCCTCTAGTTTAACCCGCTTGCGGCAGAAGAGCTTAGTATATTCTTTAAATTAGATCTGGCAATGGGTTATTTTAAAAGGTATTGGAATTCATACCTATTCAAATAATAGCAATTTAGGAACTGATCTTGGTGTAACATTGCAGTTTTTGGACTCAATAGTTAATCCATATTATCTCTATGCAAAGTATCCAACATTTATTTGAAAAACTGGTGCATCATCTTTTATAAGTCTAAATAACAGCTATAATTTTGGACTTGTTTGATTGATAAGCTATGTTCTCACTGACACAAACGAGGTGCAGATTTAATATATATGGTCCATGCCAATGTGGGCTGTTCTTAAAAAATAGATACATACAATGCTAGATCACATTGATTTGATCTCTTATTGTCCCAACAAAAATTTCTGGATCCATTCTTGTTCCAAAACAGTTCCATAAGTAGTTTTACACTAGAAAAGAAAGTGTAATTCTAATAAATAAAAACCATTAATAAATGCTCTTCACTCGTACTGAGTAAATAGTATACCTGAGCAATATTGCAAAACAGCTGTTGCTTTTTTTTTATTTTTTTCCTAGAGAGGGGAATGTCTTGTAGGGATAAATTTATAGACTTCTTGTGTATTGTTACATCTGACATGAATACTCTTTTCTCAGCAAGTATTCTTTAAATCCTATGTAGTATATTTCAAATTATTGCATCCAACAATAACATCATGGAAGTATTTTTTGGTCAAAGTCTTAGCAAATTTTAGCTTGGTCATGCATAGCATTCTTTTGAACAAGTTCCATTTTATAGAATTTTGCTCATTCTTGTCTGTTCTTTTCTTTCTTTCTTCATACTCTGCTCCAATGATATGCCCATTCTTGGAGCCATTGATTTTTATTTTTTTAAATTTCTGATGCAGAGCTACAAAGAATTAACTGGAACTTCGTGGACCCTTGTATATTTTATCAGCTTCTACCTAATTACTGTATTGTTACTTTTGAATTTGGTGAGTCTCAATATTTAATCTTCACCTTGTCTTTTGTACATAGCAGACACATTTACTTTTGTATATGTGAATGTCTTCCACATCTATCTTTATGCTCTTTTCAGAATGTTTCTTCATATGTATGTTTATCATGTATATTTGTTTGTATTCATATATATACAAATACTTGGGTGCTTCTCAGTCATATAGGGTCTGCTTATATTTGCAGTTTATATCTTTTGTTCTGGCATTTTCTGACTTGGCAATTTTAAAGAGCTTCTATGTGAAAGGGTAATAGGAAAGAAAAAGAACAAAGATGGGAGTAGAGGGAGCAAGTTGATTGACCCTGTGTCTTTTAGTTCCACAAGTTAAACAAAAAACCTTTACATATACTTTATGTTAAATTAATTTATTTGAGCATTACCTAACAAGAGCATATAAACTAAGAAATAAGAGTAAATTTAAGAGTTTGTTGATTATGCTCATAGGCTGCAGCCTTTGTACAATGACCCGGAACTTAATGTGTCTGGTTGCTTGATGATCATCGTATACAAATTTCTTCAGTATTTGAAGGATCTCTTACTTGAGATTTTAGTGAGATTTGCTGCTATGCTTGTTTCCCTGTTCTCTTAATTAAACTGTTCTACAATTCATGTTTCTGAGGTACTTTCTAGTCATTTACAAAAGAAACAACCTTATAATTTTTTCCAATGTGAATTCAGGTTGTCGCTTTTGTCTTGGAGGCATTCTTTGCTGAAATGGATCTTGAGACGTCAGGGAATTGTGAAGAAGATGACAAGGTTTGTACATATTATAAACTCTTTTATTGAATCAATAATTCTACAAACGTATTGCAAAAGTTGGATTCCTCCTGATTAGTTTTCGGGTTCTATTGTGCACTCTCTATGACTGGGTTTTACTTAAAAGTTCTCATATTGTTAAAGAGTTATTACCACAATATGGACCGGTTGGACCAAGATCTGTAGAGGGGTGATTCTGATTCTTATGTAAAAAATAAAATAATTTGGGGGCAGCATATGGCTGTTGAGTTGTTTATTACTCCAACTGCAACTGAGTCTTGAGTTGCCTTTTCCAATTTCAAAAACCTCTGACCATTTGCACGAGCTGTAACAAGTGCATGATTAGCTTTGAAGGAAGTAGTTGCATTTTGTCATTACACTATTCTTCAGCATCGTAGTGTTTGAGGTTAACATGAGGGTCTGCTTAACAATGGTTTATCGACAAATTGATCTAGTCAGAAGAGTTAATCTCATTTTTATAATGATGTATGCCTGTATCCATTGTCATCCTTATTACCATGGCGGTTATCCAACACATTAGATTTCTCACTAGTTAATATCTCCATCTAAAAGATCGAAATTTGATTGTCCTTATTCACATTTTCAGGATGCTGGATCAGGAAAATATCGAAGAAGACTTGTTGGGTCTGTATTCGCTGTCTCGATATTTCTACAAGTTATCATTTACATACATTCCAGTTTCTCAGTGTTAAGTATATGTTGCATTTTGATTTTCTTTTATCCTGGTATGGTGCAGCACGAAGACTCGTAGTCAAAGAATTGATATTCTACTACATCACATGTTGAGTGCGGAGCTGGACAAGGGCCAGTCCTCGCCCTCCTCCACTCCATAGTTTGGATCTCATTTCTTCTTCTGGTAAGTGATTTCTTTTAGACAAATAAATAAACCCTTTGTTTCTGGTCCATTATTTATTTGGCTTGTGTAATTTGTAGGTGCACCAGCATGTCATGTTTGGAAGTGTTCCAACTCGGTGAGTAATTGATCAATGTACAGCCAAGCTGCATTCGAAAATCATTATCCTTGTAACTTGGTTTTCTGGTTCTGCTGTGGAGTTGTTATATATATTTGTGTTGGGTAGGATTTGTACCAGATCTGGTTGTCTAGGGCAAAAAAGAAAAAGATGATGATACCTAGATTGGTGCAGGGTTGTGTCTTAACCTGGCTGCCTATCGTGAGTATGTGATTGATGCTTTTAAAAGGGTAATAATTAGATTCTTGTTGGATGGTTTTGTATTTAAAAGGCCCTACCCTAATATTTGAAATGAAATTGTGCCTTCTTTTGTCACTTTCGAATATAATTTCTCCCCTCCCCCTCCCCTCCCATCCCCATATTCGAAACCCTGAAGAACAAAAAAGAGATGGAAAGATTTAATGAAAAGGACGATGAGTTTTGACCCATACCATATCATTGGTCAATACAATATATAAGGTGCCCTTCGACTCCACATTATGATAGTATATTGAGCATCCTAACGAAAATTCAATTGATGACAATTGTAACAAAGAGTTCTCATCTGAATTAGAGTCCAAAAACGTCAAACCAACTGCTTTGCTATTTATAAACCACCAACAAACTACTAATGTTTTAGAATCTGGTGTGGCAATCAGGGTTCCTTCTATTCCTTTTTCCTTCATCGTTGAGTGAAAAACAAAGAAGGAAACAAAATTCTGAATAGAGAAAAAGTAAGAACACCATGAACGATTTGAAGGGGCAGCACCCTCAGGGCCAAGGCTGTGGGGGGTTTACAGAGTTTCATAATTCCAGTGATATACTGTGTCAGTATTCCATATCTGTTTCTGAGGATTATAACTAAATGCCAAGGGAATAATTCCTTAGTGAAGTAGTTGTTTTATATTCATGGAGATAAGGACTGACATGATACGAATAAATGAGGCTTCGGCTTGGTCAGGGGCTCTTCCCTTGCTGTATGGGATGGGGAACAAAGTGGGTAGGGCCACTTATCCTTATTAATTCTAGTTACATTTCCAATTCATGAATTCTCGTATCTTGGGAATTAGTAAAGCTCAAGGCCCGTGACGTTAATCGCCATTCCGTCTTATATATGGGCAAAACGAAGAGATGCTTAGTTGAATTCTTCCTTAAGTCTTTGTTGTTTGTTTTTTTTTTTTTTTTTAATGAATTCTTTTTTTCATAACATTTGTATAAGGACAATAGAGAGGAATTTTAGGCATTAACGCCAATATGGCTACACCCATGTAGGAGTCAATTTATAGGCATGCTAATCTTTCCCTAAAATATTACTACTTACATATAGAGGCATTATAAGAGAGAAGAGAGAGAGAGAGAGAGGAGCATTACGTGGGTTTTATTGCATTGTCGTATTATTAAACTAATCTCCACCTGGGCAGATTGTCTATAAAATGTTTGTCCTTACATGAGTCTCCCCGTACTCACAAAAACAAATTTAAAGAGAGAGAGAGAGATTGAGGAAGATGAAGATGATGAAAGGAGAAGTGGTGCTCAACATCCCAGCCGAGAAAGCATGGGAAATGTACAGAAACAATGAAATCATTAGCAAAATCAACCCTGAAATGCTGTCTGGGGCTGAGTACATACAAGGAGATGGTGGCCCTGGAAGCCTAAGGCTTTTCAAGCTTGGTCCCGGTAACCCTTACATGTCCCTATCTCAGTTAATTGTTTTCGTGAATTGGTATATGGAATCCTTTCTTCTCTCTGGAATTAATTGACATCAAGCCCAAGTATACATGTTGTCGAACAAATCTGTAACCATTGAGACGTGCTTTTGATATTGTTAGCTTACCAAGTTTTAGGGTTTACGAAAAGACTTCAACTTCTTCGGAATTATGCAAACTATTTTTGCGTAATATCGTCAGTCATAGAAAATACATGTTGTCTCACTACGAATATAATTGAAGGGTACTCTTGAAAATCGTAGCCTACTTATTGTATCTCGTCATATATGCAGCTGTATTCGATTATGTGAAAGAATCAATGGAGAAGATAGAAAAGGTGGAAATGGGACGGTCGGTCACTTACCAGGTCATTGGAGGAGACTTAAAGGAGATGTATGATCCTTACAGGGTTACTTTCTCATTCATTCCTGTGGAAGGAAAAGAAAACCACAAGTGCATCGCTGAATGGGAGGCAGAGTTTGAGCCACGGGCACCCGCAACCCCTCCACCTGAGAAGGCCAGGGATGCTGCCCTTGGATTTCTCAAGTCGTTCGACAACTTTCAGCTAAGCTACTAGCTCTATCAATATCAGGATTCTTTCCTCTCACCTGTGTCTATAGTATATATGCCTCTATATATATATATATGCGTGTGAAATTAGCTGGAACATATCACCTAAGTTGAGCGCACTCTTTGTATTATAAAATGATTAGACATGAAATTGTACTAGTATTATCAATGAAGTTATCTATAAGAATAAGCATGTCTTCACTATTTGGTAATGGAGTCTTTCGGTTACTATCCATGTCAGTACAAAAGTTTTTCTAGCAATGTTAATTTGTGATCATCCTGTTTACTCAAAATTCGTTGAGCCTTTCTTCTAGTAATTGTGTATTATAAATTATCAGTGTTTTATCTCTGTTTATTCCAATTTAAAGTATCCTTTAACACATCACAAAAGAAAGGTAGGCTTAGTGGGGGCTTAAGCAAACACACGAGGACTAAACTGAGGGAGACTGAATCAACTCGTTTATTTCAAATGGCAAAGAAGAGGCATAAAGGTAGTGGATGAGGGAATACCAGGGATGCCTCTTTCATTACTGCTTTGACCTTCGGGTTATATTCCTCCTCTAAAGTAATAAGTATTGAAAATGAAGCCAAAAAAACGAAAAGAGAAGGGAAGGGAATCATATGAAGGCTTCATGGACATGGAGGAATCTTGTAAAGCAAGTTGATTTTTGATGTTGACAATATCGTCCAATGGCGCCTGCACTTTCTGTTATTATATATAAGCCAGATTTATGTGAACACTCTGATATTTCATTTTTGACCTTGCCTTTGTGATTATGCCTCCGAATAACTGGATTGCATTATTTATTATTGAACCTCAACTACACACCATTTTCGTTGCCACTGGAAACGTATACGATCGACAAAGTCAGGTTTCTTGTGTTTAAAGCTTGAAACTGGTTCTAGTTAGGTGTTCACTGTTGATGACCTTTTTCAGTAACAAATTTCGCCCACGATCAACCGGCAAGGCCCAAGAGTGGAGCCACCAAGGCAAGGCTGACTGGACTCGAGAAACCTACCAGACCTGCCCAAACCCGAATTCGACCTACGTAACTCAGATCCGAATAATCTACATAATTACTCAAAATAATTCGAATTTGAATAATCCATCCAGATCCAACTCATTTTGACTTCAAAAAAAAAAAAAAATCAACTGAAATCTAAAATAATCCAAACCCAAATAAGTGATGTCAAACTCAAATTATTTGAATCCAAAATGACCTGAGTGAGGTAAGATTGGAGATAATACAAATGCTTATGCTTTTATCAACATTTAATTTACCTGTGCATGTTGACTGAAAAGACTATAGAATAAGAAAGAAACATACATGTAGACTCATTTAATCATTCCGAGCCCTTCCAAAATAAGGTTAAACCTCCATATAAGCCCCAACATTATATACTGTTTAAAAACTATGCAATAATGTAACCAAGTTCATCAAAATTTTGCATTCACCAAAGCATTTGGAAGACAAACCGCTCTACATTAGCTTCCATAATGGCTTAACAATCCCATCCTACGTTTTATATCTAACCAACTCCAAATGGTATCAGCTTCTGGAAGCCTGAAACTGCTCACAGTCTGTTGACCCATTTTTCACAAACTCCTTAACCACTAAATTAATCATCTTTTGCATAGTTCCTTTAAAATCCTCTGAGCTACCCTTTTCGATTTTATCAGGATCTGGAACGCCGTCTTTAACCACAACAGACCCTACCTTAGCACCCTCTTTATATGCTTGGCATGCCACCATAATATCACGTGCACACTTGCGAAAATGACCAGCAACAAAGGCCTCAAAATGCTGCAGAGAAAACACGACTGATTAGATCAAGAGGTAAAATGCAAATTTTACAGAACATTTTGCCCCCATTAGTCACAATATCTGCAGAAATATATGAATCTGTTCTTATAATTAAGCATAGTAGTAAAACCTTGAAGTGCGATGAACACCAAAATGATAAGAAAACTATCATATTTGGCAAACATGCCTGACAGAAGACTGAGACCATGCCAGCAGGCCAATTATTGTCTCAGTTGTGCTCAATGGCAAATGGCAATACAGATTAGAAATCAAAATATGTTTGAAACAAAGAGGTCTATCATCAGTATAAACAAACTCCATGAAAAGGAATAACGAGAATCCAAGATAAACATGATAACAGATTGTTGTGGTAATCATATATTTGGGCAGGTTAGGTAGAAAAACAAACTTCACAAAAGGAAAAGAGAAAAGAAAAACTGATAAACTAGATAAGCAAAGATACCTTCGGCGGTCTTCTTAGTGTGTAAATCATTGTCTTCAAGGATAGAACAAACACATCCTCATTGTACTTCCTGGACCTCCGGTCACCTTCATCCCCTACATACGAAGTTTCATACCCAGGCTCATTAAAGAAGGGTCTATCATTCAGAATCAGAGCTTGTATGGAAACCAAAACTTGTAGCATGGTTGATTGCCCTGGAACCCACATCTCAGTCTGCTGACCATGCCAGGTGCCCAAAAGGCTTAGGCATACTTTACCACAGTTGTACAAATTTGGATTTAACCGGAGGCCACCAGAGTAGTAATAAACCATCTAATAAGAAATTCCCAATCTCCATTAAATACAGTAAAATAAGTTTACCCTTTATAATAATCTAATATAAATATGGACATTTTAGGGAAACACACAAACACACGCACACATGCTCATACCGGCGGCTCACTGGGGTATTTTGGAGGGAAGAAACAATCAAATACAAAAAGGCCATCATGGTAAGGAGTACCAGAAGGTCCTATAATGACAGCCCTTAAAAGATCCATCCTGGCTTCATAAACTCTCACGTATATTGTGTCTGTCAAAGAACAAAGGGAGGGAACATGAATCATTCAAACAAAATAATGTCTGGTGATAAGAAGCAAAAAGCAGTGATTTTCATGTTTTTGTAATCACTGTAGAATGCATTTTTAGAAGGGAAGGGAATAATAAGAAGCTGCAAAAATCGGAAATCAGTGCTGCTGTCCTACAGCAGTTTAGTATGCATAACTTTAGAGATGTTACTCAGCTGAAAAACGTGCACATAGTTTAGCCATGACAGTGGTTAACACTAGATAAAAATAATTTCATGGCCAAAAAGGAGACCTAATATACTTGTTTCCTTATCAGTTAGTATCAGATGGCACCATATTCAGAAAACATATTCATAAATCAGAACTCACCTGGTAAGTCTTTCTCCAAAATTTTCCACTCATCTTGAATTCGCTTCGCCCACTCCTTTGGTTGCTATCAAGAAAAAGAGGAAAACCCATATTATATGAATACTGACAAATTTGGCATAACAGATAAACAAGATGCACCCTCACCTTCTCTCCTGATAAGGTTAAATTGCTGTAATGATGGTCTGAGAAATCATCCACAACATCAAAATGTTTAAAACTTTGAAACGTTTGCATAACATCATGTTCTTCATTTCCTTCTTCTTTCTGATCAGATCCTGACTCTCTTGAGACTATTGAAGTACTGGTAGAAGCTGACTTCACTTTGCTACCAGCTAAATTTGATGTTGTTGACTTCACGCTTTCAGCAGGACCAGGGCCAGTTGACTCACCCAGACCAGATGGCACATTTACAATTGGAGTAGGGTCTTTCAACCAGGGAATTGAAGCCTCTACCCCAGGAGGGAGATCCACATGATCAAAATGGGATTGCATAATCGAATAATCATCTTCATATAAGAAATCATCATTGTCACCATAATCAGAAACATCATCAGCATAGTCATCACAGTCCTCATCACAATCGTTGTCATCATCATGATATGAAATATCAGAGTTAGAACTATTGAGATTATTTGAGTTGATTGATCCTGAGGTAGAACTCTTAAGAGGATTGTTACTATCCTCAGACCCTGCAACACTAACAGAATTTCCCTGATCACTGGCTGAAGCATCCTGAAAAAAGCAGAAAGTAATTCCAGTAAAGACCACTTGATGATGGATAAGTAAGAAGCTGCACTAAGGTAGCATGCAATTGCTTTCTAATATTGTAACCACATACCTTCACATGGTCGTCCCACTTCTTGTCATAGCATATTTTAGTCTTTCCCTTACTATCCACGCCAGCTTTCTCAGAACCAATCAAAACAGTTGTTGGATCTTCAACTTGTCCAATATCCATTGCATCACAAAGAAGAATCTAAACAACAAGATCGTTTTCTAAGCATATAGTCCAACTATAAAAATATCAGTAAAAACTTAAGAGTTACACATCCTAAGGATTCAAAGACAATAACATAAAAATGGGAAGCATAACAGTGACGTGAGATTATGCTATTCATGTATGCATTCAAGTTTTGGAGATGCTCTAGTTGTTCGTATATGGTTCTGTAAGAAGAGGAAGAGAAAAGAGAAAGAATTATACAAAAAAATTAAGGCTAACTGCCGAATGGACTACCACTTTAGAATAATATTAAGATTCAATTAATCAATAGATATTCCTTCCAATGCACAACGAAACCAAATATTCACTCAGAAATATTCAAATGCTGCAGAGGACAACAGTAAAAGAAAAACAAGTGATGCCTGCTTATTTAAAACATGAGTTACAAACCTGTTTATGACATACTAGACTTACGCACAAGAAGTATCAAACTCCTTACTTCAGTCTCTTTTGGTACTAAAAATCAAGAAAACACTATAAATTCAAAGAAAGGAAATTACGATCCCCTAAACTGCTTATGCTTCAAAACGATGCACTTAAACTGTTATATTTTGATTTCTTATTCTTTTAAGTTAAAGGTCCTAATTCCATTGTATCGAAATAACCAGTGCCAACTGCGCACGGCATGGGTGTAACCGGCTCAAGTCCTGGCTTCGAACCAAGGGCGTTCTCCACCCTCTTCTCTTCTCCCACCACACACCACCACCCAACCCACCCACCCCAAAAAAAAAAAAAAAAAAAAACCAACTAACCCTCCTTTTATCCGCTTCTCGAAAGAAAAAAAGCCCCATGATTAAAGATACTAGATAAATACATAAATAATACATGGGTACAATGAGACTTTGCACCAAAGAGAAAGCACAAAACAAACAAATGAAAATTAAAAAGAATTTGGCAAATCAAAATAAACCAATTTTAGCCTAAGGCCCTGCCTGGCCACAAAAAGGAATTCGAAAGAAAAGTAGAAACCTTTATTTTCTAGGATGATACTTATTCTGGTTTTTTTTTTTTTACCAACAAATATCCTATTGAACCATCAGTAAGACCTCGACTTTTTCTCGTGGAAAGCATTTTCCAAGCAACCAAACAAAGACTTTAAACAAAAATCAACATAATAATATACTAATAATAATCAAAGAATTGCATGTGAAGCTAATTTACTAAAAGAGGCAGAGAAAAACAAAAACACGGAATTACGATAAAAAAAAAATCCGTCAATCAAATGAAATGATCATTGATCAAAAGTACAACAAAAACCAACTGCATCCACTCAAACACTCTCTTAATTAACCGGTAGAGTACGCGCAATAATCTTATTTTCCAAAAGAAAAATCAGAAGTTTCTTTAATAAGAAAAGAATAAAAACCTGGGTTGGTTTGAGTCGCTTGGAGATCGAAGTCTCGTCTACACGAAGATCCATAAAAAAGACTGATCCAACTTATATAAGGGAACCAATTTTCTAGAGAGAGAGAGAGACAAATAAAAAGTTAGAGCGAGAATTCGTACGTGATTCTGTTTACAATTATTTTCTTTTCCATTTGAATTTCAATTACTCTAAGACATGCCATTCATAAAATATAATAAATTCTTTTGTTTTTGAATGAAATCGAAAATCCGAAACTTTCTCGGTTTCCTTTTTCCCGTGCAAAGGCGATTTTATAGAGGAAAGAATAGTGTTTGGACTTTGGAAGAGTGGTTTTAGTTGTTTTTTATTAATTATTATTTTAATTTACATTTTATTTTGGAGAGGGAAAGAGGGCAGCTAATTGCGCGCCCTATTGGGTAACACTCCCATCGTTCGCATGAAGGGAAGCATTGAGACAGGCTAGTACGCGGCCCCGACCATCGTAATTTTGCACGTGTCGATCTATTATTTGTTTCTGCAAGTCCTAAACCAAAGGTGGGGTTAACATGTGGGGGACCCTGCCTAGGGAGGAGACTGGGAATATCGGAACTACCCCTCGTGTTTCTGTTTTGTACTTTTTGGGGTTTCTTTCAAAAACGTTTAGATGCGACCATGACTTACATGTACCCTGCCCCTATCGAGTTCATCACAACCGTAGATCTTGATGGTGGAGCCCTGCTCTTTTGACTTCTGGTTTTGCCAAATCCTAGGGCTGCTTGTTTTGTTAACCAGAAGGATTATCGTTTGGGTTTTTTTTAAATATAATTTTTCATGGGTATTACCGCTAAAATTCACCATCGCCTCGGGGTGTTCGTAAGGGCTCGGCCCTCCAAAATTTACAAATTGTATAAGTTTTTTAAAATTTTTAATTTTATTTTTATTTTTTTAAAATTGTATTTTTATAAATATTAAAAATATTATTTTCGTCTTTATAAATTTAAAATTTTAACTCTACAATGATCACCATACTTTATCTAATAGCAATTTTAATAACCTCACTACATCATATACGATATTCCTATTAATAGATAGAAACATTAAAAACATAATAATGAGAACAACTACTTAGTATTGTAGTTTATCAAGTAGGCTATTCCAAGTGATAAAGAGTGTCATGACCATCAAACATTTATTTGCTATTTTTCATAATTCTATTTTCTCTTTGTGTTTAAACACTTGAACAAAAGAAGAGAACTCTTAATGTTTTTTTTTTTGCTTTTTTTTTTGAAATTTCGTATTTTCAAATCTTTTAAAAGGCCTGTTTAAACAATATATAAAGTAACATAATTTTGATCATGGTCTTTAATATTTTTAGAGCTTAAAAGATATGTTGTTTATAAAATCTAATTTTTGTGAATATAAAATTTAATTTTCTATCATAAAATATAATTAGAAAGAACAATTATAAAAATAAAAAAATTATTCTATTTTATTACTTGTTTAAGTGTATCTACCATTAACTACACCGTCTTTATTTATAAACTTTAAATGAAAAAAAATAAATTTACATAAATAAAAAAAATAAATACATATAGAAAGCATGAACTTACTAAATGAAAATGTATTTGTATTGAATGAACTTTATAGGTGGGGATGTACTTATATAAAAAAGTATATTAGATATGAAAAAATTTAAAAAATTAAGAAAGTAAAAAAATATTCACATTTGTATTTTTAATATTTTAAATTTTATTCCTTTTTATTAATATGAGATAAAGTAAAGGACAAGAGATTTTCCTTTAAAGAAAGCAATAAAGTAACGCGAGTTTGACAAAATTCCCCAATAATTGAATTAACTTCCATTCAATTCAATTCAATTGTCATGGGTCATTATTTTGTCATTAATATCTCGAGTCACGTCTCCTTGTTAGGCAAAAAAGGTTTATGCATTCCGACAATCTGTTTTGGTTCAGTACCAAAGTTGCGTCAAGTGGAGAGTAGACCCTACGGAATGCTACAACATGATGGAGAATTGAGATAGCTCATTGTTAAATTTTATGGACGAGTATTTAAATTGAAATTAATTAACAATAGATGAAAAATATTTATCATTTAATTTAAAATTTATTATTAATAGATAAAATTTTTTTATCATATTAATTATTTTAAATATATAAATATAATAAGGACTTCTTTATCTTATTATCAATTAGATATTTATTCTAAAATTTAATATAATATCAAAGTAAGTGTTATTGCCTTGATTAATTTTTTGTAATAACCTTTTTATACATACATACGTGAATTTCATATCATATCATAAATCTATTATTCTTACATATAAAGTAAATATTAGAGTGATAATAAAAGAAATTTAAATTCTGTTAAATAAAGATATTTTAAATATATAAATAGAATAAATTAACAATAAATGGTTTTACACCAGTTATTAATTGATTTTAAATTTCATATTATTTTAAAATTAACAATACATAATAAATTCAGTTTAAACACTATTTATTACGTGATAAGTTGGGACAAAGAATATGGCATCTTCATTTGATGTTACAAAACTAGGTGTTTTTTTTTATTATTTCAAAAAACTCTTAATCCCCTTTTTTTGGTTAGCTTTTAAAGAGCTTCAAACTTTACTAGCTAAATTATTTTTCTATATGTTAACTTGTAAATGCTGTGCACTATTATTACTATGCTAAATAGATAAATTCGTCCTTGAGGTTGTCATTAATTTAGTTAATAGAAGACTAGTTTGCATCCACCCAAGAGAAAAAAGAGACTAGAGGTGCAATCAAGTGAAGTAAGTTGAAGGACATAATATCCACTCTCGAAGGCCGAGTAGTCAGAATGGAGATGGTCGTGAGAGAGACGAGAGACATACTCAAGGAGTTCGAGGCCAACTAGGAGGAGTTGAGTTCCAAAGGCAATGAGCTTTGTGGAGAGTTGCAGTCAACCCTTAATAAATCAATGGAGATGTTGAACCATCGAGATGCAGCATTGAAAGAGCTTGTCGAGTCATTGCGGCATGAGGTATGGGGCTTAGGGAAGGGAAAACTCAAAAATTTTTTTGAGTGATGTCATAATTAAAATAATAATAATAATTTTAAAAAAAATTTCTCAATTCAAGATCTGTCGAGAAAGTACTTAGATCAAATTCAACACAACTTTATTTAAAAGATTATTCAGTATCATCATTAGTAGAATTATATTGTTGTTGCCTAGGATTTAAGTCTTGTGAGACAATTTCTTATATTTTAAAATATCTTTCCATGTCTTATTTATACAAAAACCTATTAAAAATTATTACTCATTTCTCATTAGTATATTCAACAACTAACAGTTTGACAAATTTCTATTTATTGATCAAAACTAAATATAAGCATCCACAAACCACGTAAAATTAAATACAAAATTAAATAATCAAACCATATATCTACAAAATAAATTTTAAAAAAAGACTCAAGTTATTATTAGACATGTAATATTATTTTCTATTAGAAAAATCATTCAAGTCCCAAACTATCAAATTAATCAAAAAATATTTACATATGAATCATTTAAAAACATGATTTGGGTTGAAAATTATTTACAGTTAAACAATTAAAATCTAGATGAGTTGTTTTGAAAAAGTGAAAAATGCAACCAAAGATTGAGGAGAGAAGTCTCACTGTAGGTCTTAAAAGTAATTTTTGAATTTTTAGAGAAAAAAGGTATATTTAAGTTTTGACTTTTTTAATAAAATCTTAAATTACAAAAAAATTTTATCTCTTAGTATTTAAATATTAGTATATAAATTATTTTTTGATAAATCTACTTTGATTGGGAATTTTTGATCCACTCTCTATAAAATTATAAAAAAATTAGTGGGTTTTTTTATGTTATTAACTATGTAAAATTCTAGATAAGTAATATACTTAGTATAAATTTTTAACTATTAAGTGGTGTCATGTGACACCACTCTTATATAGCTAGGTTCACCCATGGGCTTAAGGACAAGCTCGTTGCACTAGAGGCAACCATAGAAGGTGATAAACTAATCACTAAGTTGTGGACTCGCTTAAAGGTGCCTAAGCCTAAGGAATTTTGAGGTAAGAGAAAGGCCAAGGAGGTGGATAATTTTCTATGGAGCTTGGGGTAATACTTCAAGGCCATGGACATCACAGAGGATGCTCTATAGATGAACTTCGTAGCCATGTATTTAGGGGACATCGCCTTGTTATGGTGGAGTCATAAGTGCAATAAAAAGCTTGAAAAGCAACCATTAGCACTTAGGCAAAGTTCCAAAAAGAGTTCCGAAAACAATTCTATCTTGAATACACAGATGATGAGGCTCGTGGCAAACTCATGAGCCTTACCCAACAAGGTGAGGTAAAAGAATACGTAAAACAATTCTATGAATTATTGTTACAAATTAACGATATTGGTAAAAAGGAAACACTCTTCACTTTTATGAGTGGGCTTAAGTTATGGGCCAAGTTAGAACTCCAAATACGAGGTGTGCAGAACATCACGGAGGCCATGAGTGTGGCTGAATCGATGGTTGAGTGACAGAAGTTCGACAACAAACCTCCCACTTCCAAACCCAAGGAAAAAGGTAAGAATGGGGGAGACTAAAATTGACACTCCAAAAAAGACAATGTTAAGTGAAAGAAGCCATTCGATAGATAGAGAAGACCAACCAAAGATGGGAAAAAAAAGCCACGATCATGCTTTCTATGTGACAGTCCACATTAGATAAGGGATTATTCGAAAAAGACCAAGTTAGTGGTCGTTACTTAAGAGAAAGATGAGCAAGACATAAACGCCACAAAGCTAGGATCCATGGTGTTGAGTGCAATCAAGCTAAAAGTTCATTGACATAGGGCTTCAGACTTATTTGTGGCTGAGGGTGTTGCCAAGAAATTGAGCTTAAAGCCTAATAAAAGGGTTGGTTTCATCAAAATGGTGAATTCAAAAAAAGTTCCAACCATGGGCTCAACAATAGTATATGTAAAATAAGATTAATGATTTACTTATGCCTTTTGCAAATTCTATTTGTGTTGGACACTAAGGGACAATGTGTAGTACTAGTAAGAAGATGACGTAACCTAGACACTAAATTACTATCAGCAATGCAACTAGCCAAAGGTGTACGATGAAATGAGGAAACATTTGTCATAGTCCATAAGTTAGAGGATACCCAAAGGCTGTTATGAAGGCTTCGGTCGAGGTGTTAGAGGTGTTGGACAAGTTCAAAGATGTGATGCTGGCAAGTCTACCTAATAGTTTGCCTCCTCAAAGGGAAGTTGATCATCACATCGAGGTGGTACCAGGGATATAACCACCAGCACGAGCCCCTTATCGGATGTCCCTTCTAAAGTTAATCGAGTTAAGAAAACAACTAAGAGAGTTAATCAATGCTAGATTCATTAAACCTTCCAAATCCCCATATGACACACCAATGTTGTTCTAATGCAAGCATGATGAGTCTTTGAGGTTATATATTGACTACAGAGCTTTGAACAAGCTCACTATGAAGAATAAGTATCTTATACCATTGATTGTAGACTTGTTTAGTTGGGAAAGGTGGCATGGTTAACAAAGTTGGACTTACGCTCCGGGTACTAACAAGTATGCGTAACCAAAGAGGATGAGCCCAAGATTGCATGAGTGACTTATTATGGTGCTTGTGAGTTCCTCTTTATGCCATTCGAACTTACTAGTGCTCCAATCACATTTAGCACCCTCATGAACAAGGTATTACAACCTTTTCTTGATAAGTTCGTAGTTGTATACTTGAACGACATTATCATTTACAGCAAAGCATTACAAGAGCATGTGGTACATCTCAAACAAGTGATAGAGACATTAAAAGAGAATGAATTGTTCGTGAAAAAGGAGAAATGCACCTTTGACCTCCAAGAGGTATCTTTCATGAGACATATTGTTGGTGGTGGACGTATTCGGTTGGATCCAAACAAAATGAAGACCATACTTTACTAAGAACCTCCCACTAAGGTAACTGAACTTCGATCATTTTTAGGCTTTGCTAATTATTATCGGAGATTTGTTAGAGGTTACTCTTTTATCATCACCCCACTAACTGACATACTAAAGAAGGGAAAGGCATGGGAGTGGAATATAATGAGCCAACAATCCTTTGAGTCAGTGTTAGCATTTTCAGATCATACCAAACCATACGAGGTCCACACCAGTGCATCAAACTTTGCCATTTGAGGAGTGTTGATGCAAAAAAGGCATCTAGTGGCTTTTGAGAATTGCAAGCTTAATGAGACTGAGCGAAAGTACATAATGCATGAGAAAGAAATGATTGTAGTAGTGCATTGCCTTCGCAAATGGAGACACTACCTACTTGGGGCTTCGTTCGTGGAAATGACATATTATGTGGTGACATTGTACTTTCAAAAGTAGAAAAAGCTTAGTCCCAAATAAGCTTGTTGGGAAGACTTCTTGGTAAAATTTGACTACTGGTTAGAGTATAAGACCGATAAGACAAATTTAGTGGGAAATGCACTTAGTAGGAAGGCCACATTAGTAGTGGTGAGTGAAGCGCAGGGGGCGCTTATGCCACATATCAAGGAGGGACTACCACATGATACTATGGCACAATCATTGATGAAATATGTCGAGGATGGGAAAATCAGACAATTTTGGATCCAAGATGGTCTTCTTGACCCTAAGGGGTTTAGGTTATAGGTGTCATAACATGGAGGATTATGTAAAGAGATCATAAAAGAGTGCCTTGATTTTAGTTAGGTTGGACACCCTGGAATGCACTGCACCTTAGCATTGGTAGATGAAAGCTACTATTGACAGTTCCAAGGCAAGGTGGAGCTTTTCCATGAGGCAACGAAGGTGATGCCGAATTGAATGGAAGAAAATGTCATAGCCCAAGAAGTCAAACTAACCCAGGCCCAACAGGTAGGCCAAATAACCTAAACAAAGTAATAGTCCACACATCCTTTAAAGTGTTTAATTTGATTTGAACTCTTGGATTTGTTAATGTATATTGAAGTTTAGATATAAATATACTATATTAAATTAAGATTTGGATTTAATTTGAATATTTTTTTTAAATTAAATCTCTTATCATCATCTCTTTATTTTATCCTATCTTATTGCTATCTTGTGATCTAATCTTATATAACAAGAGGGTTATCAATTTATAAATAGACCATTCGTCCTCATTTGTAACTTACATTAGAGAAATAATAAAGCATTCATATCTCTAAATAGTTCTCTTTCTTTTTCCTTTATTTAGCTTTTGCTTTTGTTAATTTTAAAGTTTACTTAAGCTTTATGGTCTATTTTAAGAGTTTAAGGCTAATTGAGTTTAAGTTTCAACATGTGACGTTAAACATCGGATCAATAATGTAATATTTTAACTTTATTTGAAAAATTAAAAAAAAATTCATTAATAATGTATAAAATAATAATCTTAATTGAAATAACTCTTAATTTTTTTTTTCATCGACCCAACCAAATGAGAAGACTTGTGATGAGCTCAACCCAGAAACTCAGCGTGGGTAGTTGCTATGAAACTTCTTAATAATACATGTCAACCTTAATTAAAATTCTCTTTTCCTTCCCTTTTTCCCTTTTTTTTTTTTAGTTTTGTTGGTTTTGTCTAGGAATGGAGAATCCACCTTTAAAAGGGAATAATGATAGTAGTCAATGTTTGATATGTGTGAGCTTAGTGACTTAGATAATGGTTTGAATATATTTTCAAACTTTTTACACACCAAAAGTATCCGGATAGTCAAATAATGCAGTGGGTTCTGTCATCCATGGTATTTTCCCTCTCAATTTCACTCACCAACTCTGTTGGCATAGCTGGACCGAGTAATTTATTTGACCTGAATAGGTTGCACGTCTAGGCTTCTAGCAGGACCATCAAGGCACCGAAATTTTTCCCAAGTCCTACTGTCCTACGCTATCAGCACATGGGGAACCAATTTTCTACCAAATGTTCGCTTTGACCTGCGCCCCGGCTGATCTCTACCTTTGAATTTAGACCGTGATTGAGACGTCTCTAACATTATCAATACATGGGCCTAGCCCATGATATCCCCTTCCTAATCATCGCCAAGGGCGAATCCAACTATCAACATCCCTGACCCTGCCAAAACCCAAAAGGCCCAAAACCTTTAATTTGGCGGAAAACTTGCCAGGTCATGATGGCGCTAACTTTGGGCGCCAAACCAAACCGTTCCCGCTAAAATCACCCGCCATGCTTTTCTTCTTTATATGCTTCTCCGCCCTCAGCGACGATGAAGAGCGCCCAAAGTATCTCAAATCATCCAGTTTCCTTTCAACTTTTCCGAATTCCCGCCAAAATAATCTTTTCGTTGAATTTCCTCAAAGAACGTCGACAACTAAACGCCAAACCATGGTGGTTCCTCTCGGCCCGGGCAAGTTCTACGGCAGTAGTCTGCCACGGCCACGCATCTACACCGACACAAAGTTTAACTCCGATCGCGTAGATCCTCCGCTTCCGGTCCTCGATCCGCTACTCTCATGGGCCAATGAAGCCCACTGGTCCATGGGTGGTCTCAGCTTCAAGCGCCTCCGTCTCCAAGGTCGCATCGAAGGGAACGTCAAAAGACTCAAAGCCCAGCGCGAGAAACTGCTCAAGGACAGCCCCGACAAAACTCATATCATAAAGAAAAGCAAGAGGGATGCTTCCGTATCTCCCCCTCCTGCTCCCGTGGCAGTAAAGAGAAGGAGGTTCTTGGACCTGAACAACGACGACGAGAGTGAAAATGAGGAGGTCGAAATGGTGGATGAGAGAGAAGAAAAGAGGGTGTTGAGGAAAGGTGCGGCGAGGAAATTGGGGTATGATTTTGAGAGAGTGGCGAACAATAGCGGTGTGGTGAGCAAAAGGGAGAGGAGTTTTAGCGATGGGATCGGCGTTGATGTGATGAATATTGTGGAGGAGGTTAACGTGGAGTCGGAATTTGAAGGGGATAAGAAGAAGAAGAAGAAGAAAAAGAAGAAGAGCATTGAGGAGGGTTTGAAGAACGGCAAGGTTGAGGTGCAGAGTGGGACTAGGACCTCTCCGAGATTGGCAAAGCGTGGTTCAAGTTCTAGATAGATCTAGGATTTTTATCTTTGTGCTTGTTTGAGCTGTAAGCATTGCTAAATCTAAATTTATAGTGAATACAAGTTAATTTTCCTTGAATATATATAGGATAGGGGAAATAACTGGTTGACATTACTTGCTTTATAGTCCATCAATGATGATCTGTAGGAGTTGGGGCTCAATTTATATTTTACAGTTTCATCTACTTGATAACACAAACCATCCGGCGTGCTTAGCTGTTGGCTGTGACTGATTTTTGGGGAAGGACAATCAAAGACTGGTTTCATTCAAGCTTCAACCCTAACAACACCTGAAATTCTTCCAAACTACACTATTATTAATTTAATCTGTGCTGCAACCCACAAATATCTGGGGATTTCATTCACATTTCTACCATGAAAATCCCTAAACATCTATGAAAATTTATGCAGCAAACTACTTAATATAATTTGTGTGGAAATGAGAAAAAAAAATGGTACAATACCAGTGAACTTGTATCCCTTGGACAAAAAGACCTCACCACAAAGAATTGATTTTCTGATTAAACTAGTTTTACTCTCTCTTGGAACACAGTTCTTTCCAGTTTCCCTTTTCATGAATAAGTCCTTGGATTCTAGCCAATCTGCATGACTGTTCTATTGTCAGTTTGTAAATTGCGGGGCTTTCCCATGGTACAAGCCCAAAATCATCATTATACTCTTCCATTCCTTGAACAAAGAATTGCCAGATTAAAGCACCTGCCCCAGACCCTTTCTTCTTTGCAGATTTATAGATGATGTCTGAAATAGTTCTATAAAACTGCTCTCTCTGGGATGGCTGGAAGTCTTTGTTCTGGTTTGACAAGCCGTATTCAGTGAACATAACAGGCTTCTTCAGTTCCTTGTCACAATCTTCAACGTGTGAACGCATCCACTTGGAAACATAACTCCGTTTTTCTTCAAATCCTAGATCATGAAACCTAACAAAGAGGAAATTAAAAAAAAAATGGATTAAATATAAGTAACATGCTTATTAAAGAAACAACCGAGTGCCTACCAAAATTATACTACAATTCAAAAGACCATCTAAACTGAACCTGAGAATATTGAAACAAGTCTGCATAACATTTTTTTCAAATTGTGCATAACAGCCAAACAGTTAAAATGTAAAATTTTTAGCAAAGTTAATATTTAAAAGGCTGGGTGAAACTAGATTCCTGATCAGGCAGAGTTCATAGCCCCCCCAACTTTGTTATATCTTCTTATCACTCTTATTGTTGAGGACCTTCTAAAAATATATGAAGTTGTGGCCACAAGGATTATGGTCTCCAAATGTCATTTGCAATTAACCATTACATTTTGTCACCCTCAATCTTCAAAACCTGGCTCTGCCACTGATGACAGGCTTCATTTTGTGTCATAGAATAGATTCTTTACATGCATACTATACCGACACAATTTCATAGAGTCAGTCAATATTGCTTACCAGTGGTCAGGATATATATGAACAGAGGTAAAATCAACATTTGCAATGTTGGAGTTGCGGACAAAATCAGATCCAAGGGTCGATGCCCACTCTTCTGGATTCACAGTTGACTTCTTGGGGCTTTTAGGACCATAGAATCCTTCCAGGCCAATGGTCAGTAGATGATTTTTATCAATTGATTTTACGAAAGCTGTCATCTCTTCTAACCAATCCTGCAATTGAATGCAGAATATTAAATTGACATTCAGACACAAATCAATAAGCCTTAGAAGAAAGAAAAGCCTCTCTCTGAGATGAATGCATATGAAATATAAAAACTGTTTTCTAAATTAAACTATTTTCTGATTAATGAATTTAAAGCTTTGAAAGGAAAAAAATTCTCCTTTCTCAGGTTATTGAAGTAGAAAGCTTTTATAGGCCTTTGCAGGCATGGAAGAAAGATAAAGTTATATGGTAAAGAAACTAAGCTGAGTTTTAGTTTTAAGAATGTCACTAAAGTTGAGCTTTGCTTCAAAGAATGGACAAACTTTGACTAAGTTCAGTGGAAGAGGGCAACAGTTATTCCAAAGAAAGTGAGAATGAATATCCAACCTTATAGATTTACAAGAAGTAAGAAACCTGCAATCACCAGTAATCCTAGCACTCGTTATATAAAATTTTAGAAGACAACATTACATTCATCTACATTTAAGCATAATTTGTCAAGATTAAAAAAGGTTTAGAACAAATTAAGAAACCAATCTAGGGTCAATCTTAGAGCTTATAATAAATAGTGTAAGATCTCGAAACTCACTTGAAGTGTATCCCCAGAAGGATCAGACATGCAACGGGGTTCATTCATCAACTCCCAAGCAAAGATGGTGGGATCATTCCGATACTCAATTCCAGTGATGGTGTTCTTCCTTGTGAGGACAGTCTGAGGAAAAGAAATATATCAGAATAATATTTTATAGCAGCAGAGAAAATATTTTTGATTTTTTTTTGGAAAGCATGAATATTTTTGAATTTATGATATTGCAAACATTTAAAAAGATTTCAAGCAGCTCTATCTTCAGAAGAAATTATATTTTCCCCTCAATTTGAGATCATACTGTTAGTTGGACTATTTGCCAACCTCATTCCCATATAACCATGTCTCTGCAAAGTTTCATAATGATGTTTTAATATATATTGCACTGGCAGAAAGAAGACCCTGGGAAGTTAAGTGTTCTCCTACTTGTATTAGCTAGCACTGAGACAAGTACACTTCATCTGAAAAGTTTGCAGATAATCTACCAAACTGGACCATACTGCAAGAGTGGAGATACATGCTCCATCCATTAACAATAAAAAAACATTAGCAAGGCTAGTATTCAAATCCTAATTTCTTATTTGTTTTATTCTAGCATAAGAATAACTCCACAGATATAGTAGGATTTCTGTTCTGCTTATCATCTGATTTTCTCATTACATTATCTCTCATTGATTTCCAAATTTCAGGTTATTACTGCATCAAGATATGCTGAACTACAATTTCGCCAAACTGCCTAATAAGCTGTATTAGATACATTCAAGCTACTGAAACAGCATTGACAATAAAAGCACTTTTGCATTTTCAAAAGGGCAACCAACCAGGCTAGCATAACATTTTTTTTTTTATTGAAAAACAAAAGCAAAAAGGAAATATCATATATGCTTCACTTCTGTCCCAAAAAAAAGAAAGAAAAAGAAAAGTACAACACTTTATACAGCTTATGTAACACAGCTGTAAGCAATTTCCTTTCATTCATATACATTCTTTCTAAAACCACAGTGGCACCTGATTCTGTTATCTCTAACTGTTAATTATGGTATTGTCTTAGCCCTAAAATGATTGAAGGAATAGTCATTTCTTAATAATGATATCTAGGCTAGTTCTCTTTCAAAATCAAATTGTAATTCGTACTTTTGTGTTTGTTATATACAGGTGAAGCACTTGGTCCATATGGTTTAAGGGGCCCTATACACTATACAGTAATAGTCAGAGTTTCTTTTTTTTTTTTTTTCCGAAAGTAATAGTCATAGTCAGAATTTAAAGGCAAAACAAATAAGCAAGTGGTTAAGACATCCCCAGCATCTGGATTCCTTTTTGAGAATTAAGATTTAACTATTTCAACAGTGCAATGTCAGCACAATTGCTAGCAGTTTACTTAAGAGCATAGGCACACTCATACACATGCATCATAATGCAGGGGACGAAAATTCCCATTATTCAAATATAAGAAAAGAGATAATTAGATACCAGGACATAGTTCTTGAAATATTTGCGGATTGATGGATCAAAGAAGAAGGAATCATTAGAAGAGCTCAAACCAACGCCTTCTTGCCATGCCCACTTGACATACTGTGTCTTTCCACCATATGCTTGCAAGTTGTTTACTAAGCTAAGAAGTAGCCTAACTCCATGTTGCCTTGCTTCTGCAATGACATAATCCAAGGCCTGCCACAACCTAAATTTGTTAAAATAAACAACAATAATTGGGAAAATGTACATAAGAATCATACTAACTGACATCAGAAAATGTGATGGAGTCAAGGATTTTCTGGGATTTTTGACAGGTTCTAATCAAGCAGGAGGCTGAGAAACGGAGCAATTTGTATAGCTTTTCATCTATTCTCTTTCGTTTCTAGCTTTCTAAGTTACACTTTTGGAGAGCTCAATCATCCTAATATTCAGAACAAACATAATTTAGTCCAGCAAAAAGTGTGCAATAATCTAAATCATTTTCTATATGCACATTGGAAATCTCTTTACTGCCTTTCAATGAGCTCCATAGTTACTTAGCTGTTATCCTGTAAGCTCGAAACGGAAAAATAAAGTAAAATCAAACACCTAATGAAGACCTAAATGCTAAAATTAAGCTTGTATTGAACACCCAGATCATCTAGGATAGAAATTATAAAGCTGAATCAATCATGAATTGAACAAAACGTAGATTATTTGCATCGCATCAAAATTTTTTAAAAAAAAGTGTGAATTTCTTTCTGATACCTTGAAAACTCGCTCATCAAATTGCCCCGGGGAAATCTGGAGAGCATCATACCCTCCATCGTTAAAGGCCCAAGTTCTACAGACAGTGAGACCCATCTTTGCACCAGCTTGCAGCATTGCACTGACCCTAGGTCTAGTATTTTCATCCACAGAATGGGCCATTAACCAGTACGAATTCCATCCATTAACATACAACGGTTTACCATCCAAAAAGAATTGTGTCCCATTCCTTTCCACAAAACTTAACCTTGGTTCCTTGGGAAAACTACTAAGCTTCAAGTCGCCAAAAGACATGTAAATAAAAGCCACACATGACGCAAATCCAAGAATTGGGTATAACAACCCATTTCCAGCCACCATCTTCCTATATATGGTAAGGAACCTGAAAACCAATCAACAGGGGAAAATTCCAGAAAAAAACGATAGAATTATTTGGGTATCCTTTTGACTCTAATTTAACACAGTCCAGAATTTCAGGATACCCAAGTTGAGATTACAGTACCTTAAACTCAAATGTGAACGCAGATCCCTCTTCATAAGGTTACCAAAAAACAAATAAAAAGGACTGCTTTAAGACATAAGTGACAGAAAGACAGATAGATTTGAAAGTTGCTGTCTTTCTGTTTA